AAATCTGATTCTTTATCGATTTTTCGGACAGTTCGCTTTTTTGGTTTTTGGCTTCAACTTCTCGTAGATCAAGGTTGGCACAATTACGTGAAAACTTAGCATGCTCTGCTTCAATGAAAAGGTTCCCGGGAACCTATTTTAATAGGACAAATATGACAGTTTGCAGTTTTTACATGTTAGTCTTATGTTCCAACCTAATACTGATATACACGCACGATTAACAGTTACTTGATATTAAGAAGTGCAAGAAAAAATAACTGCTAGCTTAGGATTCTCTTTGAAGCCAAAATGAGGGGATTAAAAGGCGCCATCCTTACTGTTAGGTTGTTACACAAGTTTCAACTTCTTAAATTAATTTCATGACATTCTTTCTCAAAAATCATAACTTTTCAAAGAAAGGCTTATTTAGCGCAAATTTTGATTAGCTGAAAAGAGGGGATCAAGAAACCTATTGGTGCCTATTTTGGATTGTAAGCAGTTCTGAAATTTTCAACGGGATTGCCTCAAAATTCCAAAATTGGAGTGAATTCCTTTTCCCAATTTTATCTCCGCAACCAAAACTCAGTTGAGAACAAACAAGATGTCTTTGAAAAGTATACGCTTTGCTCTTCCTAATATTGTTTTTGTTATGCAGGATCGTATGAGAAAGAAGCTACGATTTTTTTTCGAAAATTATGCGAACGAACTTTTGTTTCAACTTTTTTTTTCTTAGCAATCCGTGGAGCTGTAGCTATTTTTCTAGAAGTGTCACAGATCTTTCGAGTTGTTTAAAAATTTGACCCTCTTGAAACACGATGTAAAGCTGTGAAAATGAGTTTTTTATCTTTCTGGAATTTCGTTTGAGAGTTCAAAAATTCTTTTAGGTTTTTAAGTCGAGAGAACCAAATGGAAAATTTAGTAGAGGAAGCTAAAAGCATTTAGATGCGCTTACACACTTCAAAAAATCACTGTTTTCTTCAAATTCCGTAATGTCGGAAAAAATATCATCAAGTGCATCACAAAACTTTCAGAATTCTAGTAACAAATTATAAGATATATGGTATCAGTTATATGCCCTTATATGGTTAGATTTTCAAGAAACACTTCTGAATCTAAAGCTTTGTTTTCAGCCTTTGTCCACTTATGGTCATGTAGATGCTAATACCATGTATGCGTGCGTATCATTTGTACAATTCACATTCAGTTTCAAATCGTTTTTAGTTGCATAATTTGATGACATGTGGGTCATGTCCTGCATCGATTCACCACGAACAAAAAAGCCTGCGCAAGCCCCATCTAATTCCATTTAGATTACTCTTTTTATTGATACTACACATTCCTACGATAGCATGTGAGCAGCCTTTTTTAAACCTCAAGAAACCCTACATCCGCGAGAATTTTCCCAAATATCTCAAAATAATGATAGCTAAAACTGTGAGAGAGAAACTGTCAAGGAAGAGCGTGTAAGTTGAAGGGTTGCTTTTTTTGGGGTTGCTTCTTTTGTTTCAACAGGTTGCAAGATTTTCCTTGATATAAATCCCAAACTTCAAGGTGATTGAAGGGACTTTCCAAACCTTTCCAAACAAATCAAGCAGGTTTTAAAAACTAGGGAAGTGTGCAATAAAAAGTGATTTATCGATTTTTTGTTAGAATACAACACTACCTTTTTAATCAATTACAAAATGAAGCTTGAATCTGGGATCTCTCCCGCATACTGGGGAGATCCCACCCTAGCATAACGCTCAATGGCAAGGAAGCGGACGAAAGTGCCTGCTAAGTGCGAGTTTGAGTGGAGGTCATACCATCCATCCTGCTCAAACTTTTCTCAAGATTCGGAGCAAAATAAGTTTTCCAGTTTTAATGCGCTAGGGCTCGGCACCATAAGTGCGATAGTGTGAGAGTTTGCTCACCCCCTTTCACTTCTGAAGGAACCAAGGTGATATCCTTCACCAAAAGCCGAGAAAAAAAAACAACAGTGAAAGGTCAAGCAAAGGAAATATTTGTACGGGAACTGTCTGTGTATCGGAAAGGAGGAAGAAGATTTATAGTTTCACTAGCTTCCAGGAGGAAAAATAGTAGCTTCTGTAGGTGCACAGCAACGTCAGCGAGAAAAGTTCCGTGCTAAAACGTTCTACTCTGGTTTCAGGGATCAAATAGTTTGCCTAAGGTCCGTTCATAGAATTACTTACTGAAAGGTATGCCTAATGATTTCTGGACACTTACGAATCTTCAACATAAAAAAGTACGCCGCGATGGTCACCATTGGAACCGTCTCCTCCTCCGCTTTCAGAAAATGTATGGCATTTCTGAGATCCGTTCAAAAAAGCGTCTGGTGAAGGGTGTGCCAGTGATTTCTGGGATTTTCGAGCTTTCAGGATAGAAAAATCCATAACTTCGGCATATGGATAGCTGGCGCAAGGAAATAGTCATTATCGGAACCGCCTCGTCCTCCGCTTTCAAACAATATAAAGCATGTCTGAGATCATTTAGAAAAAGGCCTGAGTGAAGGGTGTGCCTAGTGATTTCTGGACATTTTCGAGTTTGTGCCTTCGCTTTAGAAAATTTTTACTTTGGCTGGGGTCCGTTGAAGAAAGTGCCGGGTGAAGGGTGGGTGAGACTCTTGTAATGGGAGTGCTCGGTGCTCAAGTAGATGTCTTTTTACAATGGTAAAAAAACCTCCACCTGAGAACTTCCATTATAAGAGTCTCACCCACCCTTCATCCGTCATCGAACGAATCTCAGACCTGCTTACATTTTCTAAAGCGGAGGACAAGACAGTTCCAATGGTGATCATCACGGCATACAAGATGTTCATCTCCAAAAGTTATGAATTCTTTTATTTTAAAAACTCGAAAATCCCCAGAAATCACTAGGCACGCCCTTCACCCAGGCACTTTTTTGGACAGATCTCAGGCATGCCGTTAGGTTGGGAAGAAATTTTACATTTTCAGAACAAACCTATTATATCTCGAAATCTAATGCATGTACATGCGCAAGAATTTATAGCTGCACCCTCACTTGCCTGTAGCTGGATTTTAGGCAAGTGGGAGAAGCCTGGGAACAATGGGGCGGAATTTGCCACTTTTCAATTACCTCGTTTTTCTTGTTGTTTGAGCTCAAATTTGATCCGAACTGTGCATCTAAGTATGTAAGTATGTGTATACTATAAACTGGTGTTTGAGCTCAAATTTGATCCGAACTGTGCATCTAAGTATGTAAGTATGTGTAAACTATAAACTGGAGATGTGGGGTTTCAAAACATTTATAGAAGTTGGAGATCTGGGTTAGGGCAAAAACCTATGCTTTGCTATTCTAGCTTGAATTTTCACTGAGAATATTGGTAAGGCTTGCGCTTACCATATTTTTGTAGGGATCGCTTTCCTCCATCCAATGGTGTGCAGCATGCCCCAATTAGTGTTTACATCGAAACAAAGCTTTGTCTAAAGGCAATTCCGAGAACTTTCTTTCCAACCTAATATATATTTTCTGAAAGCGGGAGACGAAGCAGTTCCGTTGATGAGCACATCTGCGCATAAGATGTTCATCTTCATAAGCCATGGATTTTTTTTTTTGATATAAAAGTTCGTAAATATCCGGAAAATCAGAACCTTTAGACTTTTTTGGAAGGACCACAGCAAACCATATATTTCCGGAAAGCCGAAGAAAAGATGGTTCCGAAAATAATCTCCATGCTGATGTTGCTGCTAATCTACAGAAGATACAGGTTTTTTCTTTTGAAATTTTGTAAATGCTTAAAAATTGTCTACCTCTTTCCCGAAGATTAAAATTTTTAATTTTGAAAATTCAGATGTTCTCGCATACACATCGTCTGTAGTAATTTTAAAATCATTTAGGGGGTTCAATCCTACTTCAGTCTTCACATTTTCGTAAAAAGACAACCAATGATGGCAGAGAATTTGAAATGATAAACTCTGATTTGGAAAAAATAAGAGAACACCGTCAACCCTCTCCCCACCCCCCCCCCCCCCCCGGTCGTCATTTTATGATTTCTCGATCATCTGAAACACGCTTCACCCTGGAGGGCCTGCAACCACTCTGACCCCTTCATCTGAAGGAGTCTTCTCACCTTATCGCACCTATGCTCAGCACAATTGTAAATCTTATGCTTAATGCCGCACAAAGGACCCATTTTGTCAAAAGCCATTATACAAATAAGCAGGTTTGACTTGAAAAATGAAAGTGCAACGCGTATTATAAGCATTTTCGCTCCATTTAATTTATTAAATTACTTCTCTCTCCCAATTACTACAGGAAACATAGTTTTTCAGACTGAGCTTGACAAGATTTTGATGCTATACAGTATCAGAATCCCCGACAATGCAATTGCCCAAGTCCTGCTGCGAAAGACGAATTTCAAAGCGAGAAAACCTCTCCAGAAACTTAAAGCGGTCCAGGTGGTTTCGCCCATCAACGTAGGTGAAATTAACCATCAAAATTAACCAATCCAGGCTTGGTCTTCAAAGTCGATGGAAGTATCGAAATTCTGAAATCATAATACAGGGCAGACTTGGGACAATCCTGGATGATCTATAACTTAATTTTAGCGTTGTTATCTTCAGACCACCCATGTTTTTGGGCTAACCATCTAGGCTGACGTTTCTGGAGTGGCTTTCTCGCTTCGGAACTCGTCTTCTGAAGCAGGACTTGGGCACTGTTTAGTTAAGGGTCCCAACATCACATAGATTCAAAGTCTTATCAACCTCAATTTGGGTGGACAGTGTTTTTAAGTTTCGATTCACAGCTTTTCAAAAGCTTTCATGCAGTTTATTGTCACATCTTTTCATAAATCAATAGTGATTCGTGTGTGTTGTCGGAGGGAAAAAGCAGCATCTTAATATGCATAATAGATTGATTTGTTCCAATGTAGCTGAAGGGGCTTGATATGTAAAGTATTATATAGACGAACAGAGTTCCTACACGCCCCTTTGTCAGTCCAAACATCTTCGCTCTGGAAAATGGACTTTCTCTTATTTATTTTTCTGCTCTTCTTTTCATTTTGTATGGTTTTGGGCGAGACTCCGGAATTCGAGCAGTGCGTGAGCGATTGTAGGAAAAAAAAATTAAGGTGACCATTATGTTCATTTTAAAAACGATTTTCAGTGCAAAATGAGGCAGCAAAAATTTCTCATTGCAGAAAGAAGATTCTTTTTGGATAGAGTGTAGAAGCAGATAATTCTTTTGATGCGCCTGCATGGTATCCTTTGATTCAACTGGATTGGCGGCTGAAAGGCGGGGCTTCACTCAAGGCTAGAGAGATCAGAGAGCACGCGCGCGAGAGGGACGCAGACTGCTTTTGAGGTGCGAGCAGCCTTAATTAGGTCACAAAGCCCCGCCTCTTAGCAGCCAACTCATCTGAATTAAAGGTCAATTTCAAACATGAAGTAACCAGTCCAGATTATCATTGTCAGTAACCAATAGATTTAACTACATATATTTCAGGCTAAGGGCTACCCCCGAAGCTATATACCCCCGAAGCTGCGTATCATATATCGTCTACAGTGTTCCAACTGGTGTAAAGAGCAACAACAACAAGGAAAATTACAGAAAATGAAGAAAACAACCATCAAGAGCGTTGCTCATACCTAAAAAAGAAATTTATATTGTGTAGTTTGTTCTTTGGTTGTTTGCCAATCACTCGTCATTCAATAAATGCATCTGTTGACTTTATGTATGACAATGAAAGCAAATATTGAATCGTTCCAGAAATTGTTTCCATTTTCTCAATCTATCACAAATCGGAAGAAGATGCGCTCATACTTTACTAGACTACTCAGCAGAGTTCTTTCTCCTTTTTCGGCAGTCATGTTTTTTATATTTGCTTTTGTAGTTACTAAGATGGGAAAATTCTTGAACCCATGGAGTTTAACATGTTTAGGTTTGGCAATTTTTCAAAATCTTTGTTCTCAATGCCTGGAAGAGTTTTGATGCTTGCTGGATAGATCAAGCAAAGTACAACTCGAAAGATTTGTGTTCCTTTTCCACTTACTTTTCAGAATTACCAAAATCATTTTCCAATGTAAACAAACTGCATTTTTGGTTAAGCCAAACCTTACACTACATCACCCGGGAAGCAAAACAATTATTAATTGGCGCAGTTTCTTTTCCACTTTCTGATAAGCCTTTCTTTGCAATCTGTTTAACCCTCAAGGATATCCTAATTGCAAATCATGCTAATTGTAAATTTTAACCTGTGAAATTTCAAAATTCGATGTCTTGAAAAACGATGAAAGCTTAGTTGCTTCGAAAATTAGTTTAAAATAATAACTTTTGAATTACAAAGATCTGTCAGTGTTTGATGCGTTCGTGTATCACATTCGGACTTCGCAAAAGTGAAGACTTCGAACAATCATTCTTCAACCCATTGACGACCACGCCTAATTTTGCGTGGCGGTGCTGTAGAACGACGCAATTTTGCACAACACTTTCGGTGTGGGAGGGTTTTGTGGTTATTTACGAAATTTGAGGTTGTTTTGTAAACAACTATTAACATTTTCTTGAACGGCGGAGCCTACATGTCCCAAATGTCAAAAAATGGAAAAAAATATCAATATGTGGAAATACACAATTTCGCACCGTTGTGCATGGTCTAGGTTACGAAAGGTTATTCAAAGTGAGCAAAGTTATGAAAGAAGTTGCAATTAGTCTTCATCTTAACATAATATATGCCAAGTACCGTGCCGTGTTTGTCGAATAGTTCCGTACCCGATGTTAAAAGGCCTGTGCAACACGTTGTTCTATTCCTTCTCTTCACCAGGAACGTTTCTTGCACGTTGTTCCTCTTTAGAAAAACCAACGTTTTTCGAAAGAACTATGCTCTCCGGCCCTGCGTTCCCATCACTAATCGAATGGCGATGTCTGAATTCAAATGTGTTGAAAAAGTAGCGCTATGCTGTTTCAGCATCCATTCGTTATAATTGAAGCTACTTATATGCAGAATACATGATTGTTACGTTTGGGAATGAACATGGGACTAACGGCATGAAAAGACGACCGCATATGTCATCTCATAAAAATGAACTACCTTGCATTCATTCTTCCCCTTCTTTTTTTCTTTGGTGTTGTTCAGGCTAAGAAGAACAAGCTGCGTACGACTTTTGAGGACTGCAACAGACTTTGTCAAGCAAAAGTGATTAAGGTGAGCTTCATTCAATTTACTGTGCAACTTTTAACTTTTGTCAAAATCTAATGCAGCATTAGTTTTTTAGCAAAGAGGAGAGCTAATCATGAAAATCAGCAAATTTTTTTTCGGTTCTTCGCCAAAAAGTCCGAGCTCCACCGGAGCTCAACAAATCAACGTAGCATCGCCATATTTTAGTACCGAGTAAAAAAATTCTGGAAAGGGCACATCCAACTCAGCTCGATGAGACGCGTCTTCTGTGCAGAAATGTCTGTTTGGATGAATTGGGCGGTTAGATAACAAGTACACTTACTATACCGTAAGCAAAAATCCGATTTGCCGAAATCTGACTCGGCATTGTGCACTTCCTCAAATAGGTATATAAAAATTAGGTGATGCGACTCGTCGAGGCGAGTCAAATGCTCTTACACGCCATAGTTGATCTTCTTGACCCACTGGATCCACTTGATCCATTTGTTCCTCTTGACCTCTTCGTGCAAAACGCGCACTCACTAATTTGTCATTGGGCGCCGCGTACGCCGAAATTAAATTGACAGCGCTCAATGACAAAATTAGTGGTGCGCGTTTCACGCGAGGAAGCGGATGAAGTGGATCAAAACTATCAACTACGGTGTGTGCCTTGTTTTCAAAACCGTCTTTTCGAACCAACCAACCGCGACGCGGATTACGTTGAATTGGTGGAGGGTATTGTACGGGGTGTCCCAAAAAAAATGCTTAGAACGTTTGATCGTTAATATCTCTCTTCCCAAGAAGTCTTTTGCCTTGCTTCAGGTACCGTTTTGTAGAGCTGGCTTCAACTTAGATTTCCATTATAGAACGAATCACCCATCTCTCTTCATTACTGTAAGGTTACGGTAGAAACTTCAAAGAGGGTTTTGAACCATGAAAGGCCATATTTTGCCTCAGAAAGGAAACAAAACAGCCTGAAAACTTTTACACCAGGCTAATTAGAATTGCTGATTATAACTGTAAAGTTCCCAACTTATCATGATGCTTCATTGAAGAGTTATGCCAGGTGAGAGGTAGCGGCCTTTTTTTCAATGTTCCTAAAAAGTGCGATTACACCGTTTAAAAAGCTTCGTAATCTTGTGAATAGTTGAGTATTGAACTCAAGGTCTATAAAAACCCTATTACACAAGTTTTCACAATTTTTTGGAAAATTCTGAAACGGCAGCTTTTTCCACATTGACACCAGATGTTTCAAGTTTCTACCGTAACCCTACAGTAATGAAGAGAGATGGGTGATTCGTTCTATAATGGAAATCTAAGTTGAAGCCAGCTCTACAAAACGGTACCTAAAGCAAGGCAAAAGACTTCTTGGGAAGAGAGATATTAACGACCAAACGTTCTAAACATTTTTTTGGGACACCCTGTATAGATCTGCCGAAATTTCGCCTTGTTTCTGTGACAGAGCTAGGAGAGGTTGCTCGCTATCATAAATGACTTCTGGGAAGTAAAAATTCGGAAGCATTGTGGTCTTCCCTTATGACATGTATCTCTCAAATCCACGCTCGTTACCTGCAAAACGTTCAGCAGAAAGTTATGAAAGTTTTCTATCAAAATTACTGGCACCAAAAAAGCGAGCACTATCTATTCGGTCACTTTGCCTGTTCTATCCCACATAGCAACGTATGGCAATCTGCCATGGTATTAGACTAACTGTTTTAGTTATAATGATTAAAGAAGTAATAGCGTTGTCCATTTTGACCCTCTACAAAACCTCAGTTCTATATTAGAATAGCGTGTAAAACTTCGTCCATCCGAAAAAATGCTTTGCAAATAGCCAGCATAAATCTGATGTTACTTTCGGAGACAAGTGTTTACGTATACATCTCATGTGCAAAGAACGATGACTTTGATTCGTTGCCTTATAAAAACTACACGGAACTAGAATTGTGGGGGAAGTAAGCAAAATAGCTTTCTTATAGAGTGACCCACTCTAGAAATGCCTTGCCTGGAAGATCGAAATATTATGATCATCTGCTTAGGTTATAAGATCCAAAGAATTTTTGCCATTCTTATGTATTCTCAGAGACTTCCCGGCGCCAGCGACATGATGAGGGCTACCATATGTTCCCAGGAGTGTGCCGTCTTTCCGCACAAAAATTAGAGGAAATGTACCTTGATAGAGCAACATGAAAATAGGAAACGACAACATGAGGAGACCCTAATAAAGACTTAGTTCTTCATATTGTTACGATGTTAATAGAGCTGTGACAAAGTGTCGATCGTAAAATTACCTTATACAGGGTGTCGCAAAAAATGTGAACACTGTTTGATCGTTGAAAACTCCGTTGCTTCCATGTCCACAAGCTTAAGACACCATTTTGCATTTTTTTCAACTTACAATTAGATTACTTACAAGGAAAGGACCCTCAACCGAAGTGGGGTTTTCCCCATGTGAGGCATATCGTTCTGCTGGTCTTGGAAGTTTGACTCCAGATCCGTGCTCCTTAGTTGCTCAAGGGTCTTCTGGAAAAGCTATGAGCAGCGGTTCTCCAGGATGACCAGGGCACATTATGGGTCTGGGCGCCAAAAAAATGTCAGATGTAGACCAATGGGCGGTTGGATAGAGTTCGCGTCTTCTATAGAGCCAAAATTCTTGCAATTCTGCGAGTTGCATTTTGTCAATTCGTAAATATTTCGAGAATTCTTCGAATTGTTAAAATACAACTAGCAGTTTGGCTCCACAGAAAACGCGAACTCTTCACCACCTGCTCCGCAGCTACCCACCCGCCCATCCGTCCACACCTGTACATTGTTTGGCGACCCAGACCTGTAATTTGTCTTGGTCATCCTGGAGAACCGCTGCTCATAACGTTTCTCGGAAGACCATCAAGCAGCTAAGGAACACGGATGTGCTATTAGTGCCCCAAGATCAGCAGAATGATATGCTTCACGTGTGGAAGCCCCACTTCAACTGAGGGCCCTTCCCTTGTTAGATCTACAGTATGGAGCGAATCATTAACCGTTCTTCATTACTATAAGATTAAGTTAGGAACTTCGATAAGGATGTTAAGAAGCTAAAAGCGATTTGCCCCAGCAGGAAAACCAAACAAGTTCGAAACTTTTGTAGTGGACTAATCGAAGTCGTTGATTCTGAATAAATTGCTGCACTTCACTATAATGCTTCTTTTATAAGTTACTAGCTGGCTTAACCGGCTCCTCCGGGCCTGTCAAAACACAATCACAAAGAAGATGCCATCCCTATCCCTGTACAACCTTCCCTGGGCCCACTTCTACATGTTATTTCCCATTTTGGTTGTGTTAGCAATCAGCATGCTTAATTCCCCCCCCCCCCCCCCCCTCCCCTACTATGCCAATCCCCAGCCCCGTGGCTAAAACTTTGCAAAAAATTGATAGAATCGGTAAAAGTTACGGATAGTTCTATAAACTAATAACGTAATCGTAATCAGCATGCTCGATCACTCCCTACACCAACTTCAAGCACCGTAAATCAAAGTTTGCAAAAACCGATGAAAATTGATAAAATCGTATCGATCGATGACGAAAAGTAGCCTACGACATCAGCACCCCCTAGAAGTGCATGTGTGCCATATTTGGTCCGAATCGATTCAAAGATGGAATTTTTATGCGGGACACACGTACACACAGACAGACATACATACATACAGACAAACGATCATTCAGCCTTAGATATAAGACTAGGACTCGTAGGGTCGTTAGCATGTGGGTGAGGGCAGCTACACATATTTACCTGTTTAGCTAAGAATTCCCAAGGAACAGAATTTCCATAAACTCATCGACCTTTCGCGTGTCATAAGTAGTAAACAAGCCGTCATGCTTTCAAGAAAAGAAGACCACCAATGATTTTATTCTGCAAAGCAAACAAGCCGTCATGCTTTCAAGAAGAAGACCACCAATGATTTTATTCTGCAAAGCAACTTTGCTGTTTTTCTCGCAGATACCTAAGCCCACATATCACAACTCTCAAACAAGGAAGCCCTATGTCCCCATGTCATTTTGTTTACAACAGCTTGCTCATGCTAAAACTCAGGTTGGTTTCCAGGAAACGTGTCATGCCCTAAAAAGTCAAGTTACTCTTCCAGCAGCAGAAAAACCAGTTTGTAGATAAAAACGAAGCAGCTTCTACAAAATTTCATAAAACTACCTCGAAATGAAACTTTTCGATGTTGTCTTGCTAATAAACGGACACATTTCTTAGAACGAGAGTAAGCTGGCTCAACGCCTTTTGAGGAGCAATCTTAGCGAAAATGTCCTCTCACATAAAACCCTGGGTCTTTCCTTCCCTCAAAACCAAGCTCCTTGTGCTTTTTTTTTGCTTTTAGGGGTAGAAGTGGGTTTGCAAAGTAGATGCCAGAAATAAACTTTCAACTTTGTGTGTTAGGTTGAACCGAAAGTTCTGTCGCACCATTTTCAAAAATTCATAACTTCTGTTCCTACCGATTTGATGCTATTATTTTTCTATGAAAGAGTAAGTTATGCTCTTTATAATGACATCTTACATGCTCAGTAATGATCATTTGTTGCATAGATAGGAGCGGTAGAAGAAAACTAGTTGAAATTCGAATTTTCTGGGTCAAGTCATAAAAAATCGGAGACTTGCAACAAAAATTGGAGCAGTCAGTATTACAGGTTCTTTTACCAGCCCTTTCTAACTATGCAAAGTTTGCGCCGATCGAGCGTTATGAAAAGTTATGATTTTCGAGCAAGCAATACAAATGGGCAAATTTGATTTATTTTAGCATTTTTCAGGAAAATCGTAACTTTTCATAGAGACGCTCAATCAGGCAAACTTAGCACAGCTAGAAAGAGCTGGTGAAAGAACCTATAACACTGACTGCTTCGATTTTTGTTGCAAGTATCCGATTTTTTATGACCCTACACAGAAAATTCGAACTTTGACTAATTTTCTTCTATCGCTCCTATCTATGCAACAGATGATGTAATCTGATGCAGAAGTTTGGCATGTATAGTCTAGGGTTTGATTATGTATCCTTACTAGCTGGCTTATCCGGCTCCGCTCGGCCCTGTCAAAAGACTATGATAAAGATCCCATCCCTATCCCTGTACAACCTTTCCCTCTGCCCACTTCTACATACCAACTCCGACTCCCTATTCCCGCTGTGTTAGTTACCAGCATGCTCACTTATCCTTATGCGGATTCCCAGCCCCATAGAGCCTCAAAATTTGCAAAAAATCGATAAAATCGATAAAAGTAATCGATAATCCAGAAACTAATAGTCACTTACCCCCTGTGCCGACTCCTAGCCGCGTAGCTCGAACTTCGCAAAAAATAAAGGGTGTAGGCCGTTCTGAACCCGCTTTAATCGCGATGGTTACGATAGGTCAGCGCGTTTCAGAGGTCACGTCTTAATTAGTTAAAGATGTCGTAAACGTAAACGTAAACGCATGATTCAACTAAATGCTGCTATTCCGCTGTTTTACCTAATAAACTCGCTGCTGTCCACTAAATTGACGTGCTTCCAATCACGGAAAGATTGCGGGATGTGTTTGCTTCGACTACTGAAGTACTCTAGTTTTGGTTGAGTAAGGTGAGGGCTGGTAACTCTTTTTGCTCCATATGTGCAATCCTTGCTGCATCGTGTATCGTCACAATCATTTGTGTATGTGAACTAAACGAAGCTTGCAAGGAAAAGACACTTTTTGATTTAATTATTGCTGATAACCCCAGACCCGAGATTCTTGTAAATGCAATTTGTCGCCAACAGTTTTTCTGCGCCCATTATAGCGGCTGCATAATTATATTCATGTAAACCATGCAAATACTTATCAATTTTAAACCTAGTTTTAAGCAAAAAAATAGCGGATATCACTATTTCGTGACTGTTTCGTGAGTTTTAGAGGGCTGAGAAGTTCTAGAATCTGGCTCAGAAATTTGATCTACAAGCAGTGGCTTACGAACATTCAAGATTCCATGCACAACCCCAAAAATTAACGAGAAATGAGCAGCATTTGCGCAAAAAACTGTATGCTACCAAACAAATGCCTTAGTATTGAGCGGAAGTTGTTTAGAGCAAACTATAAACTATTAGGTATTGTGCAAAGTTCATAGAAAACTATCTGTTGTACTTTCAAATGTGGGTCGGGCGCGTGTACTTTCTTCTCGACGCATCATGCATTTCAAAACCTTCAAACGTGTGACAATGCATGAAGCAGAAAGGATGCACACAAACAAAACAAGGCAGTATGAAAGTATAATAATCAAAATGAGAAGAGAAAACATTCATATAGTTGTTCAAGTGATTTAAAGCTACGTTTTTAGAAACAAACCTGATTAATACAGGATAAGGTTAGGCCGCAGAACAGCAAAATGGAGCAAATAGCACCTTTACAGAAATGGGACTGAATAAGGTGAGGATTACTACTGCGTCCAGATTTGAATGTTGTGACTTTCGAAAGTAAAGCGTTCCGCAGAAGATCGTCCGCAATGACCGCAGCGCAGGCGACCGCGTCCTTCTTGCGGGGTTACTGTAGTAGACGGTGGGTTCAGAAGGGCCGTCTCCAAGAAAACAACCAGCAAATGCTTCAATCAAATGTAAAAGTAGAACTCACAGTGTGTAGTTCGATCTTTGGTTGTTTGCTAATCACTCCTTATTCAATAAACCCATTCGATGACTATATGTATGTGTTGTGTCCTCGACTTCGGACACTCGACTCTTCGCCCTGTAGGACACAGAAAGAAGCAAATAAATTTATTAGAGAAATAATGGAGAACAATAAGTATGAGGAGAATGATGAAAACTGAACTAAACACTGAGGCAAAGAGTGAGCGCCTTTTATAGCGTGCGCGAGGGCAGATCACTACGAGGAAAACAGCTGATCATTGAGAATCACTAACATAACACCTCCCCCAGGGTAGTTAATACAAAACTAGTCTACGACAAAAGAATAAACGACAACTGAGAAATGAATCTTACATAGACATCATTGTCAGTTAAACAACTAAGAAAATAATCAGCAATCTAATAAAACTAATTAGCAGTGATATCACTTCGGACTAAGCTGGCCGTTTCATTGGTCTCCTAGTTCGGCTCGACCTTAAAGCGAAGTCGGTGGCGAGGGGGGGGGAGGAGGGGGCTCGTGGCTTGATGTCGACGTCGATGTCGTTGAATCCACGGGTGCTGGCACATCGCTTGCGATTGCTTGCTCTGAAT